ATGTATGTACCTATGCATGCATGTATTCATGCAATCATCCATGTATGTACGTGTGTATGCAGGCACATGTATGTATAAGTGTGTGTGCATGTGCGCTTTATTATGGCGGAGCGCTGTTGTGTATGTATGTATGCATGTGTGCATGTATGCACGTATGCATGCATGCATGTATGCATGTATGCATTATGCATTATGCATGTATGCATGCATGCATGCATGCATGCATGCATGTATGTACGACGTACGTACGTACGTACGTACGTACGTAGGTATGTCTGTCTGTCTGTCTGTCTGTCTGTCTGTCTGTCTGTCTGTCTGTATGTATGTATGTATGTATGTATGCCTGTATGTATATATGTATGTACCTATGCATGTACGTATGTATGTATGTATGTATGTATGCATGTAGCTAGGTAGGTGGGTAGGTGGGTAGGTAGGCAAGTGGGTCGGTAGGGTGGCTGGAAGTGGGCGGAGGTAGGGAGGTAGGCAGGTAGGTAGGTTAGGCAGGCAGGAAGGCAGGCAGGCAGGCAGGCAGGCAGGCAGGGAGGTAGGTGGGTGGGTGGGTGGGCTAAAGCTGACAATCGAAACGAGCTCATTCTTGCTGCCAGACATCCTGGCACTTGCTGAGGAAGTAAAATGCGGAAGCGCATGAGACACTCACTCCGAGCCGCAGCCTCTCAACGCTCCCAGCTGAAAGCCGCCGCGATCGTCATGGGTACTACGCACGCATCCTTGCACCTGGCAAATGCGACAGAAATGCGACTGTTCTCGTCATCAACTTCTGCTATGGGAGATCTAGTCCTCCAGGAAAGCTGCAGCTTGCGCATATCCCCGCTCTGCAGCTCGCTGCATCCACATCATGCCGAGCTCTACATCGGCCACTACGCCGTCACCAGTGAGATAGCAAACGGCCATGTCGTACTGAGCTCCACTGTGGCCCTGCTCAGCTGCTCTGGTGTACCAGTCTATGGCCAAAGCCATGTCCTTCTCAACCCCAATGCCACGGTGGTAGCAGCCTGCCAGCTGATACTCGGCAACCTCGAGGTCCTGAAGTGCAGCTGCTCGGAACTGTACAAATGCAAAGAAATCCTCGCGGGGCACGCCGAGCCCTTTGCTGTGGCACAGCCCGAGCTCAAACTGCGCTCTGCTGTGACCCCGGCTGGCGGCCTTCTTCAACCAACGCGCGGCTTTGGCAGCGTCGACTTTCTTCATCCCCTCTCCATGAAGATGGCAAAGAGCTACTTGGAATTGTGCTTCGGCATGGGCTTGATTGCCAGCCCTTGTAAACCACTTCAGAGCCATCCCTGGATCTTGTGCCACCCCTCTGCCTTGCTTGTAGCAAAGGCCTAAGCTGAACTGTGCTTTTGCCAAGCCCTGTTCGGCTGCCAAAGTGTACCAGTGCACAGCCCTCTCCTCGTCCCTCACTCCGAGCATCCCCGCAGCACAGGAGGCCCCAAGCTCAAACTGAGCATCCGCGGAGCCCTGCTCAGCGTCGTGCTCCAGAGCTTCAGGAATATAACTTGGTGCCTGCGTGCCGAGGTGCTCAGGATTCTGATGACAATTAGCAGGGCATGTGGTTGAAGACTCAATTTGATGTGGCCGACTGCAGGGATCGCATGCATCGCTCACACGGCAGCGTTTGCTCTTTGCCGCGAGCCATCTGGCCCATCCACTCGTCGCGGTCGTCACGGCTTTGATCTGGCTTTCTGATTGCACCTGCCGGGCTTGTGGCGGCTCTGAATCGGCAGCTTGCAGTGACCAGATCCGCTGAGCCAGTGCCAAGTTGGGGTTCGGACCTGCCAGCGGGCCCCCGGACAAGACCTGGGTGTTGAAACAACCAGAACCCGAAAGTCTAGTGGCTCCTTTCAGGAAACAAGAATCCAAAAATGTAAAGCATCCCTAAATACCCTAAACCCTCAACCCCTAAACTCTAAAGTATATCTATCAGGAACCCAGGGGCCCTTTGAATCAGCTCCTCAGACTTGCTGCGAAGCGCCTGCTCTGCATTGCTCGACAACCTGGGCTCTTCTTTAAGGGGCTTCATCTAAGTTAACATAACAGGTTTAGGGTTTAGGGTTTAGGGTTTAGGGGTTAGGGGTTAACAGAATAGGGATCTTTTACTTGACAACAAGGGGGTTTCCTGACTATGGCAACTCCAACTAAGTTCCTTAACCCTTTTCCCTTTCTGAACCCATAGACCAGAACCCGTATAGAACCCTAAACCCTAAACCCTAAACCCTAAACCCTGAACCCTAAGCCCTAAACCCTAAACCCTAAACCCCTCATGGAACCTGTATGGAACCCTTAAAGGAACCCAGAAACTTCTGCGCACGAACGAAGTCGTCCAAGGTTGTCGAAAGCCTGAGCTGCGGCCCAGCGGGACTTCGGGGTTTAGGGTTTAGGGTTAAGGGGTCTGATATAGAGGCCGTAATAATTAGAATAGGGTTTTGGGGCCACTCTACTATAATTGAAACAAGGAGCCCCAAAAAATAGTATTGGTAGTTATTTAGGCTTCTACATTAGGGGTTTTGGGTTTAGGTTTGAAGGCTTCGGGGCTTCGGGTTTGGGGTTTCAGGCTTCGGGGTTTGGGAGTTAGGGGTTTAGGCTTAGGCATGTAGGCGGTTGAGGCTTTATGGGTCTGGGTTATTAGCTGAAGGTTTTTAGTATTCAGGAGCCCGTTTGCTTCGCCAGGCGGGACAGTAGCTCGCCTACACTGTGAAACCCCCAAACCCTAAACCCACAGCCCTAAACCCTCAACCGTAAACCATAAACCCTAAGCCGTCAACCCTCATCCGTCAACCCTCAACCCTAAACCTTAAGCTGGAGTACCTCGCAATGTCAGCAGTCTTCCGCCCTTTGCGACGAAGGCTTGGCATGGCTCGAGTTTGTCCGCTTTAAAGGCAACTTCAGCTTTCTTTAGGGTGTAAGGTGTGAGGGCGCAGGGTCAAGAATCTAGGGTTTAGGATGTCGGCTGTAAGGTTTGAGATTCAGGTTTCCGGGTGCACGGTATAGAGCATAGAGTTCGATTCAACGTCTTTCCTCTTATGCTGTAGGATTCGGGGGTGAGCTCAGAAGCCCCGTCGTGCTTTCGATTGCATTTTGGTACCTACAGCCTCGAGAAGACGGAACAAGTCGGAGCCAGATTGCTACAAGATGAACAGGTGTTGCTGACACGGAGCGAGGGTTGTGTTGCCATATGGAAAATAAAATGCCCCTCAACCTAAAATATGTACCCGGGGATACAGACCTTGACTGCTTGGGGGATCAAGACAGGCATGTCTACTTGCAACCCCCAGCTGGGGTGCTCATTTGGGAGTTTCCGGAAATTAGGGTACCCTGTTTTGGGGTCCTTATAATAAGGATCCTACTATTTAGGGCACTATATTAGGGTCCCCTATTTTCTGAAACCCCCATTTGCCTACTTGCTAAGTCCCCTGAAACTCTTCCTGAAACGGCTTACGACCTCCTCCACTAACGCCGGCCCTAAACCCGAGCCCCACATCCCCAACCACTCTCGATGGAAGAGCCTCACTCTGGGGATCGGCTCTTCCTTGCGCATCATCTGTAGGGTTGAGGGTTTAGGGTTTAGGGTTTAGGGTTTAGGGTTGAAGGCTCTCTGGTCGAAGCGCTGTGGTTTGAGGCTTACCCAGTCGAGAAACTATTTCAAGGTCCATGAACGATAAGACTTAAGTACGCATTTGAGTACACCACCTACTTTTGCAACAGCATATCCTTAAGAACCGTCTTTTTCTGGGGTTTTCCTGCTGTTCAGTTTGGCGAGGAAGCTCTGCGAAGAAACGGAGCTTGCCAAGTCCTCTACCTACGCGTCTAGCATGTTGGGAAACTAAGGTTAACCTTTGGGAGTAATATAGTTAGAAGAGGATTCCTTTAAAGGGATCCTTAAAGGGTTCTATAAGGGCTACCATCAGGGTTTAGGGGGGTATACTGAGGTTATATGGACTAGAAGGGCTTAGGGTTTAGGTCCTCAATACTTAGAAGAGGGTTTTTTGCGGGTTCCTGCTAAGGGCGGTTCTTTTAAGGGATACTACAAGGGTTACTATAAGGGTTTAGTTTAGGGTTTAGGGGCCTTAATAAGTAGACTAGGGTTTTGGGGCCCATTCTACTATAGCTAACCCCTCCAAAATAGTATTGGTAATTATTTAGGCCCCTACAGAGAGGTCATGTTCCTCTGCAGGGGCGAGCAGATGTTGCTTGATCAGCTGCCAATCGCAAAGCTCCTTATCAAAACCCATATAAATCCCGAATCCCTCAACCCCCAAACCCTAAACCTGAACCACTCCTGAACCCTTCTAAACGAAAAAGCCCTCTCAGAAAGCCAGAGAAGACCTTTTCTAAGACAGTGGGTTCCGAGTTTAGGGTTTAGGGTTTGTATAGGGCGCAGCGTCTGAATGGATAGGGTTTAGACTCTTGGGCTTTGGTGCTCAGGGTTCTAGGCTCGGAGAGTTTAGGGTTCGGGGGCGAAGCCTTTAAGCTTCAGGCTTCAGGTTTTGGAGTTCCGGGTTCAGGGTTTTTGGTTCAGGGTTTAGTTGGGGTTTAGGCTTAGGCTTTCGAATCCCCGGACACTGAAAACGTCCTCAAAGCATCACTTTTCGACGACGCAAAAGGCACCGCTTGGCGGTGTGGGGTCTGTGGGTACGCCAGCGTTGGGGCGTTGGTGAAACACTGGGTTTGGCTTTAAGGTTTAGGGTGTTTGAGGGGCTGCTCTGTTTGGGGGCTGGGAAAGGTTAGACTTGCACGGTCACTTGGACGTCGCTGGTTTCCGAGGGCAGGTCGTCTCCGATGCCCGCTTCCGAAATCTGCCGCCCGTGAAAGGCGCCCAGGGCAAGGCCTCCTGGAGTATCTTGCTTTAAGGGTGCATTGGACATTGGACTTTCTCTCCTCCTGTCCTGCCCTTATTGGGCCTGCCTCCTAGGGCTTAAGGCTTAGGGTTTAGGATTTAGGCGTCTACGGTTCCGCGCTCAGGGTTTAGGGGTTTCGGATTTAGGGTTTAGGGTTCCCCACAAAAATGAGCGCTAATCTTTCAACCAGGCTGTCTTTAAGGGTCCCATGTCATGGGTCTACGAGGGCTACTGCAAGGTTCTGGGTCAGGGTTGTAACATGCATGTATATATATATATACACACATATATCGTATTCGATATTCGATAGTACAGACTTGATAACATCGGGTATATAACATATCTTCTATCGTGTACCTTAAACTTATACCTTATAACTTTATCTGATAAATATATACACCCTATGACTTATATCTTCTCGGTTATACCTTATACCTTACATGGAAACAAGCATTGTGTAGCATATCTGATGTTTCCTCTTCTGGAATGTTATGTACATGTATGCATATATATATATATAGATATAGAGATATGTGTGCTAATAAAAACTTTACAGTTATGTATGTAAGTATCGTATCGTATGTATGTATGTATGTATGTATGTATGTATGTATGCATGCATGTATGTGTCGTATGTGTGTGTGTATATATATATATACATATATTATAGTATAGTATATGTGTACCATCATCTACACATACATATGTACAAAAGTGGGGCATATGATCTCAAGGAGCCGGCCCTGCATTGGAGGGAGCCAGGCTTGATCGACTTTAGGGTTCAGGGTGAAGACTTCATCATGACGGTCTTGGCAAGGTGCCTACTAGGTTTTTCTAGAAAAACCTAGTAGAAGCATCAACATGTCTAGGTCTTCCTGGCGATTGAAAAAACCTGCGGGCACCCTAAAAAGTCAACCCTAAATCCTAAGCCATAAACCCCAAATCCTCAACCCTAAACCCCAAGCCCGCGTTCCCAACCCCCCCCCCCCCTCCCCACACATTGAAACAAAAAACAGACAACGGAATTGCCGCCTTCAAGGGCCGGACAGGGGTTTTTTTCTAGTCTCGTTTTGAAGGTAGTGTGGATGGGTCGATAAGAATGCTTGAGCCTGGGGGCTGAAAGCCTACAGACAATTAGTTTAGGGTTGGGCGCTGGCGAGAACTCGGGATCCTCGACAAGAAGCCCTTACATAGGCCCCAGCCCTACAAGTCCCACCCAGAGCCCAGCAGCGCTCTATGAAGCAACGGACTCAAAATCGGATTCAGGATGCCCCGGGATGCTACGGAGCATTTGCTCAGAAAAGCCCTAAACCGGACATCTCCAAAAGCCCCTGCTTCTGAAGGACTGTGGCCCAAGTGACGTTTGGGCGTGACGCCATGCAAAGCTTGATCAAGGCCACCCACCCTCGCTTGCATCAGGGTTTAGGGTTTAGGGCAAGTAATTTCCGCAACTGCTGCATCGAAGGTTGTGTGTGTGTGTGTTTGCGACAGGATGCTTAACGATTTCAACGCCGCAGTTACTGGGAGGATGCTTCACTCCTGTTTAGGACAAACTTGGTAGTTGAGCAGCTTCCGTGCAGGGCTAAGAGCTGCTAAGAAAAGGCTCTCCTTGTGATTCGTGTGTAAATATATGGCAACCAAAACCCCAAGAAGTCTAGAGATCAGGACAACCACGTTGTGGAACTATTCGCACAATGGCCGCTAGAGCACTAGGCTCCCAGACCGAGTAGCATTCAGAGTCCGCGATTATGCGCTAGGGTTGCGTAGTCTAGGAGTTTAGGGTTTAGGGTCGAGGAGTTTGGGGTGTAGAGGTAAGGAGTTTTACGGTGTAGGACTGCAGAGCTTGGGGCAAAACGCCACCACGAGAGTGTTTGCTCTCTGGACATAACAGTCCCCAATAATATATCCATTGAGGTCAGTGCCTCAGCGCCCGACTGTCGTGACTGGATTTTTGGGGGCATGTAGGCTTACCAGTATGTGCGCCGACGCAAAGCATGCTTCCTCTTCGCCCGGCACGAAACTCAACCCTCAGTTGCTAGAAAATCCTTGCTCCCAGAATCCAAATTGAAAAAATCAGAAACCGCCACACATGAAAGTTCAGACCCTGAAAGAAACAAACGTAAACTCGAAACCCGAACCCAAAGCCACTAATAAACCTTAAACCCTAAAGCCGCCGGGAAGCTCAACGTCGGCCGCCACACGAAGACCCTCATGCCAGTTCCGTAGGCCGCCCCCGAGAAAGGCGCCCACGACCATGAAGAAGGGCGTCCTGATGTAGGGCTTTGGGCTTATGGCCTTTAGTGCGCCCTGATTTGTAGCTTCGGGCTTCGAGGTTTAGGGGGGTCTATGGTTGCTAGGGTTTACAGTTACAGAGTCCATCTTTCTCCCCCTAAACCCTAAGCCCTAAACCGTAAAGATTCTGCCATGTGTACGTGTACATGGGAAGCTCTCTCTAAATTCAAGTCCCTTTTGGAGTCCTGTTTTGTAAGGGTGCCATACTACCTTGGGGACCCAAAGTTGGACCCTAATCTAGAGAACTACCCAGATGGCTGGGACGCATCAAGGAAGGTGGTTGTCGCAACTGTTCGTGTGGTAGTCATCGTCGTAGTAGAAGAAGGAATACAAAAAGTAGGAGGAGGAGGAGGAGGAGTTGTTGTCGTCGTCAGCGTCGTTGCAGTCGTCGTCGTCGTAGCAGCAGCAGCAGCAGCAGCTGCAGCAGCAGCAGGAGCTGGAGCAACAGTAGCAAAAGCAGTAGCAGTAGCAGGAGCTGGAGCAGGAGAGGAGCGGGAGCGGTGAGAGTAGCCCTAGCACTAACAATAGCGGTAGCAGCAGCGGCTCAGTACGCCAGCCCGCCTCACCAGAGCAGCCACGTCGGACCAAGCACCAGAACACACTCTCCCCGGGACCAGTACCAGCATTGGGTTCAGGGTTTAGGGCTTCAGGGTTTAAGGTTTAGGGTTTAGGGTTTAGAGTTTAGGGTTCATGTTTTAGGGTTTAGGGTTCAGGGTTTAGGGTTTAGGGTTGGTCCCCTAACAACGGCACCTCGCCAAGAACAAAGCCTTCGACAATAACAGCTGATCGCTCCGGACACGCCCTTGCCACAAGCTACCCTTGCCTATGCGCTATTCGACGCCGAACGCTCACCAAAATCCTTCGACGGTGGCCCTACACCCAAAACCCTGAAACCCTAAAACCCTGAATCCCGAAGACCGTCAAAGACCCAAATTAAGAACCCTCCCCCAAAAACCCCGAGCCCCAAATCCCTAAACCCTAAACCCTCAACCTTTGGGGTTTCGGGTTTGTTTAGGGTTTAAGGTTTAGTTTAGGGCTTAGGGCCTAGGGTTTGTTTAGGGTTTAGGGTTTTGTTTAGGGTTTAGGGTTTACCTATAGTCTCCACTGTAGTTCCTTTTTGGGGGCACCTTATAAAATCCTTAATATATATATATATATATGGTTAAACCAAAAAAAGGAACTACAATGGAGACTAAACGTAAGCCTCAGTCGTTTAGGGTTTGTTTGGGGCTTAGGGTTTAGGGTGTGTTTAGGGTTTAGGGTTTGTTTAGGGTTTAGGGTTTAGGGTTTAGTTTAGGGTTTAGGTTTTAGGGTTTAGTTTAGAGTTTAGGCTTGAGGGTTTAGGGTTTAGTTTAGGGTTTAGGGTTTAGGGTTTAAGCCTCAATCCGGGCCAGGGGTCACAGTGACCACGGCCCAGCCGAGGATGGCAGCCAGCGACAGCAGCTGGACCCCAAGCAGCCCGAGGCCTCCCCCCCGGAAGAGGCCATTCTCCACCTGGTTAGGGCTCTTTTGGGGGCAGTAGGGCTGTGCCATTTAGGGTTTAGGGCTTTTTGGGGTTTAGGGCTTTTTGGGGCTTTAGGGCTTTTAGGGCTTAGGGTTTAGGGGTAGGGCGTTAGTGGAACGGAGTTGCAAGCTCAAGATGTCCCAACATCCACACGACATCCTAAAAGCCACAGGGTCTGGGGCGACCAGGACTCCGAGAAAGCCTCCAACCCATCCATAAAGTGCAAACTCTGCAGTACTCTGCAGTACTCCTGGATTGGGGCGAATGTGGGGGGGTCTTAATCATCAGAATGGGGTTTTGGGGTATGTTATACTTAGGGTTCTATCAAAGGGTTTAGGGTTCTATCATAGGGTTTAGGGCTTAGGGTTCTATCATAGGGTTTAGGGTTCTATCATAAGGTTTAGGGTTTAGGGTTCTATCAAAGGGTTTAGGGTTTAGGGTTCTATCATAGGGTTGAGGGTTTAGGGTTCTATCATAGGGTCCAGTGTTTAGGGTTATATGGTAGGGTCCCCTTTTAAGGGTGCTGCCCTTCAGTGAACCCGGGAACCCGTCAATCCTAAACCCGGAACCCCGAACAAAAACTGAACCCGAAGCCCTGAACCCTGCGCCCAAGACCCTCCCCGAGCTGGGAAGTTCATTCAAGCCACCATAGAGGCCTCCAAAAAAGAAACAAAAAACTAAAGCCCTCGGACCACGAAAAAATACAAATAAACCCCAAACCCTAAACCTTGAATCCTAAATCCTAGATCCTAAACCCTAAACCCTAAACCCCTAAACCCTTAAATCCTAAACCCCTGAACCCTAAACCTCTAAAGCGGGCCTCGATGCCCAGAAGCTTTCCATCCGCAAAAAGCCCCACAGCCAGAACTCCCCAGATTCCTGCGGCACCTTGGAGTGCATTTGGGGTTTAGGGTTTAGGGTTTAGAGTTTAGGGGTTTGGGTTTAGGATTTAGGGTTTAGGGTTTAGGGGTTTTGGGTTTAGGATTTAGGGTTTAGGGATTAGGGGTTTTGGGTTTAGGATTTTGGGTTTAGGGTTTAGGGGTTTTGGGTTTAGGATTTAGGGTTTAGGGGTTTTGGGTTTAGGATTTGGGTTTGGGGTTTTGGGGTTTTGGGGTTTAGGGTTTAGGGTTGGGAGTTTAGGGCTTGGGGTTGAGGATATAAGATCTTTGGATTGGGGAATTGAATTTGGGGTTTTGGAGTTGTGGTTCAGGCTGTATAGGAGTTAGGATTAGGGGGAGGGAAGGACCTCGAACCAATTGGTTTGTATACACAGGAGATGTGTGAGCGCATTGCCTTTGCTATCAACCCCAGCGGGGCCTTCATCTCAGTACCGGCAGCCCTTGCAGATTAGACCCTCGCAATAAGGTCCCCTTTCAGAGAGCCATACGTCCATATATAGGGCTAACAAAAGTCTGGTTTAAGGGCAACTACGACGACTCCTCCTTACTCCTATTCCTCCTGCTACGCGACGACTGCTGCTGCTACAAGGCCTCAACCATTGGCCTTTAAGGGTTCCTGTAACGGTTCCCTCGAGGGCTTTAAGGCTTTGGGCTTAAGCTATATCGGATTAGGGTGTTTGGCTTCAGGCTTCAGGGTTTTGGACTTTGGACTCATCGCGTTGGGGTTGAAGGCTTCACATGGTAGGGCTTTAAAGTTGTGGACTCGGGGCCCTAAACCCTAAACCCTTCAGGGTTAAGCCATCAAGGACTGCCCCCAGGCACCGTGCACACCGACAGCGCCCACGGGATCGTCGATCTTCAAACGCTTTTCGTTCCTTGGGCTTAGGGTTTAGCCCTAAACCCTAAACCCTACACCCTAGGCTTCGGGGTGAGACCCGGGATTCTTCTCGGTGACATGCAACCTCGCTCTCCGCGTCAACATGGCATCGAGCATCCCTGAAACCCGAAACGACCCTAGGGTTTAGGGTTTAGGAACCCTCAACGGACTTCGGAACCCAACCCCCCCCCCCCATTTGCCTACTCTGGTAAACGTAGTAAGGGCCATTATGGGCAGTTCTCTAAAGTAGGCCCCACATGGGTGATTTTATAAGGGTGCCGTATTACGTTGGAGACCTAAACAGGGACCCTAATTTAGAGAACTACCCGTATGAAGAGCTGCAAATAAACAGCAGGAGAAACGACAATGAAAACAGCTCGATAATCTTTAAAACAAGCATGATAGCAGACATACTGCCACTAGTCGGAGCAGTGGCGATGGCAGTCGACGTCGTCGGCGGCATCGTCGTCATCGTCGTCGAAAAAGTAGCAGTAGCAGTAGCAGTGGCAGTGCAGTAGTGGTAGTAGTGGTCGTGGTAGCAG